TCCATTTGAAACCATTCCCCCGTCCTATTGCCCTGCTAAAGAGTCTGTCCCCTTTCTTACAGCCCTTTCAGACACTCACAGAACCGTAGGTCTCCCCGCAGCTTCCCCTTCTCCGGCTGCACAGCCCAGCTCTCAGCCTGGCCTCGCAGGGAGGTGTTCCATCCCTGGGAGCATTTTTGTGGCCCTTCTCTGGATGCTCTCCAGCAGCTCCACGTCTCTCCTGTCCTGAGGACTCCCCATCTGGGCGCAGTGCTGCAGGTGAGCTCTCAGCACACAGCAGAGGGGCAGATCCCCCGCTTTGGATGCAGCCAGGGTACGGTTGGCTGTGAGCTGTCGTGTCCAGCTGCCATCCATCAGTGCCTCCTTTTGGGCAGGGCTGTGCTCCGTCCTTACATCCCCAGCTCATACTGATGGTGATAGTGTTGCTGTGACCCAGGTGCAGACCTTGCACGTGGTTTTATTGAACCTCATGAGGCTGATTCCAGATGTAAGGGGAATACTGGAACAATCTGACTTGAGGGGAAATAAAGGAGAACTTTATTTTGGAGTGTTTCTCTGAACCAGCATCCAAGTGGTGACTCTAGTGTGAGGAAGAGATGGGAAAACCAGGGAATGACCAACATCGGACATCTGCTGTGATGTGGAAGTGTTGTGGCTGCAGCTGATGGTACCAGGGCTATAGCAACAGAGCTGCAGCTACTGGAGAAGGTATTTTGGAGAACAAAGTTGTGTTACGTGATGTTAGAGAAGCAGAAAGATAGGCCTTAAGAAATTAAATATGATGCATGACCTAAGGGAAATGAAGAGAAATAAAGAAAAGCTAGCTGCCCTTAGGAGCTGTTTTGTGTTGTTTCTCGTTCATGGGGACTTAGTACAGTCAATGGAAGCATCAAGCAAAGGGACAGAAAGGGACAAGTGGAAGTGAGGATGTAACAAAGTGATGGAGGCAGACGCGGCTCTGAGCTGGACGGAGGGGTTGGCAACAAGGGCAACCTGCCAAAAAATTAGCAGGAGAGACAGGAACAATGTGAAGGGAGTACAACTCTGAAGAGTAAAGGGGACAGAAGTGGAGCAAACTACACAGGCTGGGACAGGAAGAGGGGCAGAGGCACAGGGGAGGAGGGGGTATGCCTGGGGTTGCTTGCAGGTCTCTTTCTTACCCAGAAAGACTGCAGGGAGAGTCTTGTCTTCTTATGGTGCCAAGGGTGCAGAATATAAATCATGTGGGCAGATGTGATTAGAGACGAAATGCGGGGGGCGGGGGGGGGGGAATAATAAACACTCATAAAATTATGAATAATAATGGGGAAGCAACAGGAACTGTCAGCATGTCTGACAGTAAGGGACCGTATGGGTGCAGCAGGCTGGAACAAACAGAAGTAGCTCGTGCTGGTTTTGCACAGCTTGATCACATGAGAAGTGCCTGGCCACGGGATGCCACAGACACCAGAAGCGTAAGCATGGAAAGGGATTACAGAAGCTTACAGAAAACAGATTTTTCTGTGGCTATTAAAAATGTTTCTGAGTCGTCTTCCAGTCCACAAAGTCCATGAAGTGACTTTTCTGCTCTTGCTCTGTATCTGCAGTCAGTTTAAATGAGGTGCCTGAGTCAGTCTAACAGCTTGCTGATGGTACGTGCAGTTCTGCTCCTGTCCTCCTGCAGCTATTTGTGAATGTGCTGCTTCTGGTGCACCACTTCTGGCATTCAATCTGTTCATTAAACCAGCGGAAAATGAAAGCAGAGTGAATACTGTTCTGCCAGTTTAGTCAGTTGAATCAGCCCATGGGTTTATGAGCCAGCGGCATCCATCACATCAACATTGCTTGGCTTTGTTGAGCCTCATGATGTTCACCTCGGCCCATTGCTCGGCCTGCCCATGTCCCTCTGGCTGGCTTCCCTTCTATCAACTGCACCACTCAGCTCAGTGCCATCAGCAGAGTGCTGAGGGTGCACTCAATCCACCACTGATGTCATTGGTAAAGATGCTGAAGAGCACCAGTGCTGAGATGGAGCCCTGAGGGACACCACTCCCCCCTGATCTCCACCCGCACGTGGAGCCACTGAGCGCCTCACTCTGGGTGCAATCTTGTTTTTCTATGCAAAGAATTTCTTATAATGGCTGCTGGGATTCTTATGTTATTACCTGATTGCAGGGATTTGGGCTTTAGTCACGATAAGATCCTGATATTTACTGCACTGGCGTCTAAAAGCTAATGCCATTGGAGGAATGCTTTCTATCATGTCTGAAAGGAGGTGGTGACTGGGGAGAGTTCCTGGTAATTGATAAAGGACAAATGTCTCCAGCTGACGGAATATCCTGCCCTGATATCTAATATCAAAGCAGGGAACATGCTTTGACTTTCATTTAACAAATTCTTCTGTTTTGAATAAATCCTACTTAGTCACAGAAATAACTATCTGCTGGGACAACCGCAGTACATTCTTCTATTACAAGTTAAAATGTGTTTTACTTTGCCCATGTGCTCAGCATTACGAGAGTTGCATCTGAGAGAATCCTAGAAACCACTCAGCTCTTGTGTCTTCTGTGAGATGAGTTCGTGTGCTCGACTGCGATCCACAGACCCTGAATGACACAGTAAATATGGACATTGATCTCTGACATGACAGCCTCCTCCTCTCAGCTGTGGGCTGTTCTTTATCTAATGTTTACGATGTCAGCGTTGTCCTCTGCCACTTCCATGTTACTGTTTGTTTTCAAATATGAATTCCTGAAGCGCTCTATCGAATATTTACCGGCATTAAGAATGGTGTGACATTGCACTGTGTGCCTTTTTGAATGAGTCTATAGAATAGGCAAAAAATAGCCTACTGCAGCTTTTGGTATTAGCTTATAATTAGCCTATGATAGGCTGGAGCAATGGGCTGAATGTGTGTGAGGATCACCAAGGCTAAATGTCAGGTCCTGCACTTGGGTCACACCAAGCCCACACCGTGCTGCAGGATGGTGGAAGAGTGGCTGGAAATTGCCCAACAGAAAAGGACTTAGGGGAGACCTCATCGCTCCCTGCAAATCCCTGAAAGGAGGCTGTGGTGAGCTGGGCTGTGTGCTCCTGGGTGACAGTGATGAGAAGCGATGGCCTTAAGTTGTGCCAGGGGAGGTTTATGTTAGCTATCAGGAGGAATTTCTTCATGAAAAAGAATTGGTAGAGACTGCCCAGGGGAGTAGTTGAGCCACTGTCCCTGGAGGTATTTTAAAGATGTGCAGATGTGGTGCTTAGGGACACGGCTTAGTGGTAGACTTGGCAGTGCCAGGTTAATGACTAGACTCAATGATCTTTGAGGTTTTTGTCCAACATAATTGATTCTATGATTCTGTAATCGAATCAAAGAAAGGGTTCAGCTCACTTGCTGTCCAATTTAACAGTGTCTTATGAAAGCTTGAAGAACAGTAGTGGATCATCTTTCTGCGCTATGATATTTTGCCATTCTATTCAACATCAGAAGTCTTAGATTAAGAGTAGACTTGTCAGGAGAAGTACAAAAGCATAATTGATCCAGATGAGGCCATGGGAGCAGACCAGCTCAGAGGACCCCTCAGGACCATTATCTGTGGTTTTATGATTCATGGAAGTCCTCACATTGGGCAGATGAACCAGCAGGAAAAATGCTATGGAGACACCTGGGAATTTGCCTTGGCTTTAGGTACTGCTGCCAACTCAGCTCTGTGCAGGAAATGCCAACCCACTACATCAACAACCAAAATGCTCTTCTAGGAAGCTTTCTTTTAAACAATGTCACTCCCCAGATAGTGAAGGACAAAGTTCACTATTTCAGCTGTTGAAATAATTCAACAGTTTTTATATTGGGCATAAAATCATCTGATACTTATCAGATAACAGATTTGACCTGGAGTCTTTTGCTCTCCAGCTGTGCTCTGAGTACTGGACTGAATTGTCCAGGTTTGCTTCTCCTTTCCTCCTTCCCCACTTGGTTTGTATATGTATGAAGACAAAATGTTCCAGCCAGGAACTATCACAGGGCTGGGGAAAGTTGAGCAGCTCATCATTATCCAGCAATTATAAGAAGGATGGCAGATGGGGGGTTTCCAGGCATCCTTCTGAATGTTGGAAAGAAACAAAGGACTCTTTGGAAAGGACACCTAGACAGAAGGTTGAAGCTCAGAATGGCTCAGAACATTGGTATGGAAGCAGAGAAAATACCTCTCAATACACAGAGATTAAATGAACAGGAAGCTTCTTGCAGGATTCCTTAGCACACGAGTTTCCAAATATCCCGTTTTCCATTTGCTCACTGGTCTTTAATCCATTTAAGCTCTCATCTCCAGGACTGTTAGCAATAATGAAGGAATCTCAACTCACTGACTACCGAGAACCAACTATGAAGGTAAAGCAGAGTAATTTTTGCCCACATAGCAGGCATAGACTATGACATCCCCTCCTCATCACTGTGAGCAATTTCTTCCTTATACTTCACATCCACCCCAACGACCTTAATATTGAAGGAAGTTTTTCTTGATATTTCACTTCATTCTTTCCAAATTCCCTGATCTCTTGTCTTACCTCTATGATTATGGAGAACAGATTATTTACTACTTCTGGCCAGTTGTCTTTTCCCTATCTGAAGTCTTCAGTTTTCACTCACTCACATCTTTCATCCCCAAAGGCTCACAGTATCCATGCATCACTTGAAGACTCAATTCTCACAAAGGCTGAAAAAAAAAAAAAGCTTTTTCCTGGCTCAATCTTAAGCACGCAGTTGCTTCCTAAGGGAGCCTGAGTGCCCAGGAATTAGACACAGCAACGTTCAGCTGTCTTTGCTGAATTTACCTTCACTTTCTATAGCTATGGAATAAACATTACCAGAACCAACAATTGGTCCTGGCTCCATTCTGAGGTCCCAAAAATTCCACATTGACACTGAACATATTTTGTTTCATTTTGGGCATGCAAAAAAAAAACCCCCAAAAACCAACACAAAAATAACCCGAAACAACACAAATGTAAGAGCGAGGTGCTTTTCAGTAATGTTCATGCTATTTATTTTGTAGTATTTCTGCACTGGCTATTGCACACATGATCAAATGTGTAAAAATGATTGCCAACAGTATGTCTTCTTTCTGCAGTTTACCAAAATTGCAGCTTCAAATTCACATTTGTGAAGTGCCCAGAGAACTCACATGCTTGCTACATCTTCATGCCCTGCTGCCTGCACTCAGGCTGCCTCCTGTTCTCTGCCACAGCTGCTAGTTTTATCAGTTGCAGATGGACAGGTAAGTGCCACAGGAAATGCAGGTGGCTAGGTCCCATTCTCCAGAAACCTTCTAAGCCTTCATGAAATGCTGGTAATACACAGCAGAAGTACTGAAGTCCTCCAAATATGCATAAGCTTTCCTCCCATCAGGTTACAAAGACATGACAGACTTGGCAGCATGTGCCATCTTATTCTAAATGTTGCTCTGACAGTACTGCCTCCTATTTCTGTCTGCAGAAACTGGAACAGATGCAAAGAGTACAGCAGCACTGCTTGATAGAGCAAATTCTCAGCTACAGAACACTATTTTTCAGTATATCCACCACCATTAGCTGTGCATTTTCACCAGCAATGAACAAGAGCTGCATGCCACGCTCTAAAAATCTGTGTGGCTGTATCCAGAATGCAACTCAACTGTTTCATCACTGTCACCTCTGTTGAAATGCACCACTCACCGCCTCACTGTGCTCACATCTGGGTCTCCAGAAACATTCCAAAGTGTCGATGAATGTCAGTGGGTGCCATTTCTTCCTGCATGGAGGAATTCAATGACACACCTTTGCTATATACACACTTCTGTTTCAGACACCGTTTGTCAGACTGCTGCCACAAGTCATGCAGCAGCAATATGTAATGGGATATCGGCAGGAAGGTTCAACTTCTACTGCCATCCCACCAACACCCACCTCTGGCATTGTGGGCCAACACTACAAACCAGGAGGCATTACTTTCAGAGCAGCCCTGCACAAACTCAGCTTTCTGTTCTGTCTTTCACCTGTTGCAAACTTTACTTCATCTGTTGATATTACGCATAAAAATGATCACTGCAGAGACCACAGACAAGTTATCTTATGGTATATAGAGTCCCAGACAGAGAGAACCCAACTTGCCAAACCAAACAGAGACATTCCCTGTTCCATGCACAGCACAGGGATGGAGATCACCACTCTGCACCCAGGAATCAAAGCACAAAAAAATCTCAGGGGAGGCTGCAAGATTGTGCAAAGCTCAGTAACGCAACAGTAGAGGATCAAGACGAGCACTTTTTGAAATGTATTAGTTTTTGGAAAGCCTGTTTGAATTCTTCATTAAAAGCTGTATAAATGACGGGATTGATTAATGAGTTTAAGTAACCTAACCACGTAAAAAAGTCCAACAGGATGGGATGAAACCAACATGCGTCCTGGCAGATGGGCAGGACGAGGGACATGACAAAGAACGGCAGCCAGCAGAAAATGAAAGCTCCTAGAATAATTCCTAAAGTTTTGGTGGCTTTCCTTTCTCTCGCAGCAGAAATTCTTTTCCTCTCCAGAATACTATCTGCAAGTTTTATTTGAACGTGATTGATAAATATTGGGGAGCCACCAGAATGGGAATGCCCTTCGTGAAGGCTTGCGTTAATGGAGCAGAGGGAAGACCCAGCAGAGCCAGTTATCAGGTGTGCAGTAGTGAATCGTTTCCCATACACTGAGGGTGGCTTCAGGATCCTGGATCGAGCTGCTACATAAATTCTACCATACAATATCAGGAGGAGCACAGTCGGAATGTAGAAAGCTCCACAAGTGGAATAAATGGTGTAGGAAATCTGATCTGTGTTCACATTACACTTTGCGATTTCTTCGTGAGCTTTCACTTGCCTCCAAAAAAACGGTGGCACAGAAATACTAATGGAGATCATCCAAACCACGGCGATCATGAGCATTGCTCGGCCAGCAGTCCGGCGTTTGGCATATTCCAAAGCATCTGTGATAGCCCAGTATCTGTCCAGCGCAATAACACAGAGGTGTAGGATTGAGGCTGTGCAGCACGTGATGTCTGATGATAACCAGATATCACACAGCACCTGGCCAAAGGCCCACGTGTGGGTGACAGTGTAAGCGATACTGATGGGCATCACGAGGACGGACACTAAAAGATCTGTTACTGCCAAGGAGCCAATGAGGTAATTTGCAGGTGTGTGGAGCTTTCTAGTAAAAAAAATTGTAATAACAACAAAAATGTTTGCAAGGATCGTTGCCAAAGTTATGACAGACAGAAGGACCGACAGGGATATCTTCAGCCCTAATAATGTCCTTTCATCCAAAGCCAGCGGTGGTTCAGTAGAATTTAATGACTTATTTGCTGAGCTCTGGAGAGAGAGCTCTGTCGAAAGGTTATACTGAGTCATCCTCTGAACTGATTTCAGTTTTCAATGTAATCTTTCCAGGATGATGAAGAAAGATGCTCACCTTTTTGCTGAATTACAACTTCTCATACTGGAGCCCAACACTGAAGAAAAACCAACTTGTTGAAAACAGCAGCTGCATAAATCATTACTGGAAAGTGAGAGGCTGCAATAGAAACATCTGGGCATGTGACCTATGCCCCAACATAGCTGGGACAAAGCTATCCTCAAAAGTATTTTCACTTCCACTCTAACATCTGAATGTCCCACTTCTGGTATTTATGAAGATCTCTCCTGGTAGAGTACCCAAGAGACAATACAATACTGCCTGGATTCCTGATGTAAACCTGATTTCTGCACGATTTGTAGATCAGAACCTGCTTCCAAACGGTGCAGAGCTCAGTTCTCGTTTATTCCTCCAGATCATTCTGGCTTTCTCTTCATCAAACATCCAGTCTTCAAATGCTGTTTTGGGAACCAGTTCTCAATGCGTCGGTGCTGAAGCTCGCAGCATGTTCCATGTACTGAGATGCTCCTGGTCTTGCACACAGTGAATGACTGCAATGACTGGTGGTGCTTCCCTCGAAAGAGGAAGAGTGGGGCTGGTTAAGAGGATCTGCAAAAAGAAAGTGAATGTTTTAGCTCACAGTGGTGACAGGATTTGTGGAAGTTGAACTGTGACAGTATACAAACAACAGACTTTCTGTAAATTTCTTTAGATTTCCTTCATGTAACTGAAATCTTTACGAACAGAGAACATCCTAGGGCAGATTTCCTTGAGATCTTTTGGTCAGACCCACCCACGAGTACCAGAACATCACTTACTTATGGCAGCCCATGCTTTCTTGACAGAGATTCCAAATGTAGGTCATGAACAGTTCTAAAGCACATCCCCAGGACTAGCAGCAGAGACGCTGAACTCCACAAACAAAACCCCCAGACCAGCTTCCTCCCAGCCACGGAGCTGAAACGCTTCCAACAGCAATAACTTGCACAGCTTCACAGCCTTTGACAAAGAACTGAGACTCACGTGGTGAGGAATCTGTAGAGCAAGAGCGTCCATCCTATGTGAAACACCAATGTGTCAAACAGTTTCTCTTGAGCTCCTAACACTGCACAGTGCTTCTGGTTTTCTGTGATTTTTTTTTGGTAAATGCTCATCTTCTGTGATTCAAAGTTACTTTCAGTGATGCTGTTTCTTTGTAGGTGTATTTTTTCAATAAGGGACCAAGAAGAGTTGCATATTTCATAGTAAGCTATGACTCTCTTCAACCAGCTGTTCTTCTTAATGTCCATTTTTGTGACTGGGCAAAGGTTAAATGCATGGTGTGCAACCTGCTTGCCTGGGCTGCATATAGGTATGCTGCTCTAAAAGTAATGCCTCCTATTTATTTCAGTGAAAAATACAACAGCAACATTGAGCTCAGTAAGTCTGTTTGATAAATCAAAGGAGGTGATCCTCCCCCTCTACTCTGCCCTGGTAAGACCTCATCTGGAGTACTGCATCCAGTTCTGGGCTCCCCAGTACAAAACAGACAGGGATCTCTTGGAAAGAGTCCAGCGGAGGGCCACCAAGATGGTGAGGGGCCTGGAGCATCTCTGCTATGAGGAAAGGCTGAGTGAACTGGGTCTGTTCAGCCTTGAGAAAAGAAGACTGAGAGGGGACCTCATCCAGGTCCATAAGTATCTAAGGTGTGGGGGGCAGAATGGCGAGGCCGGACTCTTTTCAGTGGTGAGTGGAGACAGGACAAGGGGAAACGGCTGGAAACTGCAGCATAGGAAGTTCTGCACCTATGTGCACAAGAACTTCTGTACAGTGAGGTGACGGAGCACTGGAACAGGCTGCCCAGGGAGGTGGTGGAGTCTCCTTCTCTGGAGATGTTCAAGACCTGCCTGGATGCCGACCTGTGCAACCTGGTAAAGGGAACTGCTTTGGCAGGGGGTTGGACTCGATGATCTCTGGAGGTCCCTTCCAACCCCTACAATTCTGTGAAACCAAATTCTCATCTACAGAACACTATTTTTCATTACAGAGGTGACCCTCTGTTGTTGTCAGCACTGCTGAAACTCATCACCCACCCTCACTGTGCTCACATCCTCTGTTTGTTCTCCACAAACGCCTACAGACATCAACGAATGTCAGTCTGTCCAACTTTTTCTGTAGGGAGGAATTCAGTGACACACCTTTGCTCCATGTGCCCTTCCATGTCAGACACCATAGTGTCAGTGTGCCCCTCTGCTGCCAGCTGTCACACAGCAACGAAGTATAACAGGATATTGGTGGGAAGGTTCAACCTCTACTGCTGTACATCCAACTCTGACATCACGGACCATAAAACAGGAGGCATTATTTTCAGAGCAGCCCTCATAAAATAGATAATATAGTTGATATATATAATTAACAAAACTTATTTTAACTGTTATTATTGTTATTAAAACATAAGAAAGAAAGAGAGCAACAGCACCATAAGACTTGTGGGATGTGTGACCTCGTACTGTGAAACCAATGCATCAGTGCCTGGTTCGATGGCAGTGGCTGCAGCTGTCAGCTCTCATGGTGTTGTCAGAGAATTTGTTTAAGGAAATTTTACTCCTCCCGTGTTTCATCTTTAAAAACAGCTGTTCACAAATGTTGTCGCCTTTTGGCAGGATGTACAAGAATGAGGCATGATTGTGAAGTGTTGGATAATTTTCTCTGAACACAAGAATGGACGTGGCAAACAGAGCCCAAGAAATCCAGTGCTCTGACTCCAACTGCAGCCAATACATTCAGCTCAACCCTGTGGCCCTATTCTGACACTATTCCAACTCTGATACATCCTTTCTGAGACACAGGGACCTGAACCACACACAGTGCTGAAGATGTGGGTACAGCACAGATGAACATACAGCATTAACAGTCTTTCCTGTTCTCAATTTCTTTCCTAGCAATTCCCAAGAGTTGTTTTTTTCCATCATCACAAACCACCGATCTGTCATTTCCACTAAACAGTCCCAATTAATATAATTGCAAAGGCATGAGTGGTAACATCAGCATTTTTTTTCCTGAATGCTCACTTCTTGCATCTCCCTGTACTGAACTCCTTCTCCCATGCTTTACCTGACATCCTTTGCAACTCTGCACAGTCAGTCCTTCTTTTAAATACTTGAAAAGCTTCGTCTCACCTCGGTCCTCACACTCTCCAGATCACTGGTAGTCTGAGCTTTCCTTATTTACCTTCTTTAAGGATCTCTGGCCAAGAACCTCGCCCAAAATCTCCTGAGAAACCCAAGTAATTGTCTCAATTGGACATCGACCAATCCATACACTCCACAACTTCACTCAATGGCTTTGTGAGGCAAACTAACCTCTGCAAAAGCCATTTTCACTGTTCCCCAGAAGACAGTATTTACTGTATGTACAGTAATTGCAGTGTTTATGATATTTTCTGCAAAGCAGCCAAGTACAGACTTCAGGTTTATGAATACATCAGGTCTCTTTGGGAACTACGTCACAGCAGCTGTCTTACAGTTGCGTGTAAAGGGAGTTTTAAGTATTTTAAATAGCGGTTGAACACCCTTCTTGATCCCGTTGTACCTTGGATCCTGAGTTGCACTGAGCTCTTTGGCTTACAGCTACCTGACTGTGAAGATTTGTTATTCGTTTTGGCCAGAAATAAAGGTTCCATTTGAAAACTTACCCTGGATTTTCTTCATCAGACAGGGATGCTAAGAGTCAACCTAGTTTCTCTGTGATAATTTTCCTTTCTGTTCTTGATTTCTTTTTCATTTCCCTATTACCATCCCTTTGATTCTCTGACTCAATAGCTCATTTCAGAGCTGTTGCTTTTAGAGCCTAAGAAATCTCTTTACCTGAACAGCAGGCTGATCGCACATCCCACACGGGAGAAAACCTAAACCAGAAATATGAGACAGAATGATTAGCAATATTCATTTTTGTTCCCTACTTAGAACTTTTCCTTGGGTATTCACTGTGCTGACATGCAGACATATTCCCTATGTGATAAATGATCACCAGGGACTACAGACTTCTGCAAAACAATCAGTCAAAATATTTTTTCCCTAAGAAGCAGTAAAGTGCCGCAGCAGGGTGTAATGTGCAGAACTGGAAAATATTTTTGTGATATTCTAAATAAACAAACACTCACTGTGTAGTACCTGAACAGAAGCGTGATCCAGTTCGGTCAGTCATGAGCTCCACAAAACTGACAGGCAGAGCCCTGGGGTACCAGCGTGGTCAAACAGGATGGCCATAAAGCTCTGGTAAAACTCACAGCCCTGCTATAGCAAAGATTTATGCATTTGTTTAATACTATAACCTCACATACTATCACTGAATGTTAAATTCATTGCACTGCTAAGAACATGCACGCACGTATCTTTCAGAATCAGGGACTCTAAATCTACTTTTAGAAGCTCTTTTGAACATAATTCCCTGTGATGCCAATTTTAGAGACTTTGTGCTTAGTTTGTGTGAGTTGACAGTCAATACTGCTGATATAAAAAAAGTGGTGATGGTATTACCATTAAAATGAATATATTAGTATGTGAAAAACATAAGTTATCATCAAGCTAAAATGAATGTCTTTCCAATGGCTTAATATTTAAATTACCTTTTATTCAACTAAGGGAAAATCCTGAATAGAGACAATTGAATTTCCTGTTGAAAAACAGAAAGAAAAAAATTAGTTTTCTTAAACCGCACACATTGGATAAAAAAAATTATCTAGAGCAATCACTAAATTAAACAACACAGTCAACTTCAATGTCAAACATGTAGCTGCTTATGAAGGAAAAAAGAACACAAATGCATTTACAAGAGCTGTACATCCTGGAATACTGTGAGCCCACGTGGCACATTCAGCTGAGAGCAATCTTCCAGTGGGACGTGTTGCTTACATAGGGCTTAAATGGCCTCTGGAGCAGGAAAAGAGAAGCAGTGGGTAGAAACAGGAGTTGTTACCATCTCTAGATAGCATTCTTGTCTCCACTACGTGCAGTTTCACAGTCTGGGTAGCACATGAAGTTATGTTTGCAGTGCTGAGTGCAGCAGCCACGGTGGTTCCTCTGCTCTGGTCTCTACCAGGCAGGACTCAGTGTGTTTTCATTCACCACTCTCAAGATGGAAACCCTCTTGGATGAGGGTTCTTTGGTCACCCTCACGTGTCACCTGGTGCCCTCGGCCATGGGACGTGGGTATTTTTTCAGTTCCAGGTGCCTGAAGGGAAGGTGGTATCACAACATACCATGGCAGCAGGTAGATCAGGGCTGCCCTCTGCAACTGCCTCTCTCCTTCACCAGAGCCATGACCTCGTTCATCCACCTCCAAAAGCACTGCACACTGCACAGGGAGGGACCTTTCGCTCAGGTCCTTCATCCACACATTCAGTCGTTTCTAGGAAGATCCAGGAGGTGCATAAGAATCCTTTGGTATCCTGGAAAGATTTGAGGAATTCTTTTTAGTTCCTTCCCAGAGGAAAAAAAAAAATACTTAAACGGAGAGACAGTTTTAGGCAGTGTGCTGTTATTTAACTTAACAGGCAAAGGGTGAGCACAGTTCATGGTCTTGAAGGTGAAGAGAGGTACACATTCAGAGTGAAAAAACATTTTGGCTGTCATCAATAATATTAATAATACTGTTATCATAACCCGAGGTGCTTACCTAAAGCCAGGCAGCCTTGTGAAGGCGCTTTGTGCTTCAGCTCTGTGGTTGAAGTAGGGAATGGAGTAGCAGTGGGAAAGCAGCAAGGCAGGGCTGTGCTTCTGGTGAAGCTCCACGCTCAGCTCCAAGCAGCATGCTGGCAAACATGAGGTTAACGGCACTAAAAGATGACTGTGACAGAGTGCCATCGTGTGGACACCGCACACCTCAGCTGCAGCCCAGCACGGCGGATGGGGAAGATAGGAAGATTTCAGCGCAACCAAAGTCACACATTCCTGTCTGTTCAGAATCTGGCTGCCATTTCTAGAGAACAGGATGCTGAGAACAACCTTATGGTGCAGCCTACAACAGCTTCCGAGAATGCTCAGGGGCAAAGAGAATGCTTTGGTGTGACCGTGCAGATCTGGCTGGAGCGAGGCAAAAAGTGCATGAAAAAATAGACTGAAATGGAAATACAGACTTTGCTCTTTCAATGAACGGAGCAGGGGGAAAAAATAAAAGGAACAAGACGAAACATCTTTTAAGACATTGAAAAATGTTTCTTTTGACTTCAGGCTAAACTCAGAGGAATTAAAGTTCATTCCTTCCCCCGTAGCTGGGTAACAACACAAGGAATTGCAAAGGGATGGCTGAGAACAGAGCTATGCTCCAGGAGATGAGAGAAAATCCATTTGCTCTTCTGCCTTTTCATATCTGGGTTTAGTTTTTCATGTAAATGTTGAATCTTGCCAAAATAAACGAGGTAGGTTCTGTCACACTGAAACCTGGACAAGCAACGGAGACACAGCGCGACCCAGCAAACAGCAGATGGCACTCCTAGCAGTAATTGCACACTTAAAAGAGACATTCACAGGAGAAGTCAAAAGAGGGAGCAATTTCTGAGCCAGTTTTGTAGATTTGGGACAACTGACTCCAGTAAATAGCATCCGAGTGCTTGCAGAGTGCTGCTTTGAGACCAGATCCCAACACCTGCTCAAGCTTTAGAAACTGCCAGTCCATAGACCATAGTTAAAGCAGGATGCAGCTTCTGGGAGAAAGCAATCCCACAATGTACTGCACAGAAAACTCAGGGTCTGTGTGAAAGTTTAAGCTTGATAGCATCAGTAAAATGGGGTCTGACTGTATGGCTTACACACCTTGGTGCGAAGGACTGAGTGTGCCTCAAAAGTAACAGTAACCAAACTAGAATCCTGGCTCTGGATTAAACTGTCTGAAATGCATACAGGAAAGAATAACATTTTGCAGAAGCTGTGTAGATGAGAGAGAATAAACCTGACAAGAAAATAACAGGCATATGTCCCTTGCACAATAAGTAGGATTAGGCAGCACGGCGTACTGGAATGGCTGCCACACTGCCAGCGTAAAGGAAGAAGATGAACAAGTATGGGAAGGGATAGTTTAAGAGCAGCAATGTGAGTGCTGTTATTTGCTATCCAAGGCACATGAGCTAGTGAACCAGTGAATGAGCAGTTTGCACCTTGCAAAGAAAGGAATCTAGAATGGAATAAGCACGTTCATGTGATGAGGAGCTGCTTTCACCATTGGGTACAACAACAAAACTAAGAGCAAAACAAAAGCAACCTGCAAACGTGTCCCTGGGAGAGAGGAATGAGCACAACTGCAATTACTCATTTGTTTTCCACTCAAGCATGGATCATAAGCTTGAGTGGACCACAGGAACCTGATTTGCTCCCCATCAGGGACATGTGTTAGCAGAATTAGTGATTAAAACTTCTTTAGACACGGAGCTCAATCAACAGGAGCATAGTTTGCACCTGAATTTCTCATGTGTTGAGGGAGCAGCACGCAGTGCTACTGGCTAAACTGGTTATTCTGATTATTCAGGATGTTTCTGAGATCTCAGGAGTACTTTGTTGGCATCAACACCAAATTACTTTATATTATTTGCATACACTGCCATATCCTGCAAGCAGAAGCCATAGCTAGTTTGCACCTCCCTGACCTTTTTTTTTTTGCTCTAAGATGACTTCCTCAGCATTTCTTAATTCAGCATGCTGTTGCACAGGCACACAGGTTTTAATATTTCACTCAGCTTTCAAGGAAATACCAACATTTTCTCTCTCCTGTCTATACACACACAAGCTATCCAAGCCACCACCACTACACCTTGTGACTCAACGTGTCTTACGAGGGGTCTTTGGGCAACCTGATGTAGTGAGAGATGTCTCTGCCCATTACCAGGGTTGGAATAAAGGCTCCTTCCATCCCAAACCACGTAATAATCATCATAATTGGTTCTGCAATAATCACAAAGAAAGGCTAGAAATTAGCAAGCAGTGATGCTGGTAGATGCTGTAGCACAGAAACATCCTCTACAGTACATCACCAAGAGCTTCTTAGGAGGAAGCAGGAGCCAGAACACTTAGTTCTGAGAGCATTACCTGAACTCCATCAGCCTTGCAGTCTCTGATCACAAACACACAATGCAAAAGCTCCAATTAATAATTTTTTTCCTCAAATTTTCATTCCCATTATTCCTCAACGTCATATCAGGAGTGGAATTGTGAGGGCTGATGAGATACGGTGCAGTGTGAGATTAAATGTGACAAATGAGATTCACACCACCAAGCAGAGCACATCACAGACATCAGTCCATCACTTGTCTTCAGTTAACTCATGGGAGGAAAGATCATATTGGTGCATACTAAGTCATGAATCCGATTTCTCTCCTGTAAGGGAATTTCAGACCATTACTCAGATGTAGGTGAGGGACTTCCAAGCACATTTGGGCAACCAAACCTCCCTATGAAGCCCAGCACATCAGCACATAGAGATGAGGTTCTGTGAGCCCATGCCCCAGAAGAGCCCACAATTCTTCTCTTCACACCTGATGGGATTCATCACCAGAGGTATCCTGAGCCAACACACTGAATTCCATTTAGGAAAGGATGGTGTATCACTGTGACAACATCCTTTAGATGATGTCTAGACTTTAGACTATTGTGAAATACAGAATTTTCCCCACGTATTTAATGGTGCTCTATTCCCTTCACTTGTAAGTCTGCAAGACTTTGGTGTTCATTCAGTGGAAGCAATGGGAATTAGGCTAACACAGAGCGCTCTGAAAAAGACCATGGCATCCAAAGGAATCAGTGCTCAAGCACTGGCCCTCTGAAAATCAGCTGTAGTCTATAATGCTGGACAGAGATATAAAAAAGAAAAAACTCTTGCAGATTCCACCCAAACTGTCTGTGCTCAGTTCAGCAGTGTGCTGTGCTTTGCAGAGCATCTGATGATGCTTTATTTAATCTGATTTCAGTATGTGCAGCCATTCCCATGAGACTCCAATTCTGAGCATGGGGTCCACTGGGATTTTTCAGGCCATCCACACGCACTGAGTTTCACCTTTCTGCTTCAGCCATTTTTCCTTGCCTGTCCTCTTTTCCAATCCAGTATCCTACAGCTTTGCCTGCAGAAGCATCTGAAAGGCACTGGGTGATGTCCCACTATCTGCAGTCATGACTTAAAAACACAAGGCATGATAGTAAAAACATTAAGGTTGGAAACGACCTCTAAGATCATCCAGTCCAACCATCCAAATACCACCAACCTTGCCCACTAAGCCACGTCCCTACATACCACATTCCTGAGGTTCTTGAACGCCTGCAGAGACAGTGATTCTACCACTTCCCTGGGCGGCCTGTTTGATAACAGCAGAATGATGGTAGAATTGATAAGCCTAACTATGAACAATTAATCAGAGCATCCTTGTGCCCCTTGCTCCTCATCTTCCCACATATCGCCAACTTAGGGAATGAGGTGGCTTCAGAAGGCAGCACACTGACCACTCATTCCCCACCTGGTAAATAAAGTCGATAGGCACATTTGCAGAAGTATGGCCTTACACTTCCTGGAAGAAGCATTTATTCACCTTGTACCTCCTTACCCTCTGTCCTGGAGGCAATTCAGGAAGAAAATGGGATCAACATTTGGCTGAATGCCCTCATCTGGAGCACGCAGCCAGAGAGCACTCAGAGCCTTACCAACACCACGCAGAACATACTCTGCTGTGATGGGAAGAAGAAAACACAGCAGTTGGCACTGCTTTCACTAATGGCTTGGTTAATGAAGTGGATGGCGTGCTTCTTCCAGTGATACAAGCTGGTTTTAGCACGCAGGAATAAGAAGGTTAAATGTGAGTTAAGAAACAAGCAGCTGCCCGACTGCGTGACGCAGAGTAACCAGCTCCACACTGTAGGACCAAGAGGTACCGTCAGCAGCATCAGCAATCTGACAGCCCTTCCAAGTGGCAAAGACTTTGGCAGATGTGTAACTAGGAAAAAACCTCACACAGATCTTATTTTGTTCATTTTGGACAAACAGGAACCCTGTGTACACTGAGCCCTGGGCACTGCGTTCCCAAGATGATATGGGCTACATAGAAAGAGGACAGAGGAAAGCAGTGAGAGTTATCAGAAAAGTGGACCTATGAGAATAAACTGAATTAACAGGGATGTCTGGGCCAGAAACGACGCAGCTGAAAGAAATGTTCAACAGTCTTTACATGCATGAAAGCCTGCTACAGAGCATAAGGAAAAGCCCAGTCCCCAAGGCTATGGCTGCTCTACTGAAGGGAGGCAGGTAACTGCTCTTGGGGAAACCTGGCAGAACAGCAAAGCTCTTAACGGAATTGCTTGGAGACACCATAAAAAACTTTCCATGACAGAGATGTTAAGGACAAATTAAATCACCTTTCTGAAATGAATTTCCAAGCAATCCAGCACTGGGAAAGCAAAGTGGATTGGAAAGCACCTTTTCCCCTGAGTATAACAGTGAAAAATAGCAATCCAAGACGGTGCTAGTGCTGCAGAACGTTGCCACTGAGATCTGGAGCTGGCTCAGGACTCAGCTTTGTGGTACTGCGGTGCTCCAGAGAAATTAAGATAACTGTTATTGTCTTCAAGCACAGACTGGTGAGGAACGCCACAACTGTTTATAACAGCTGTCACTGGAAACCAGGGCTCCCAGTCTCCACCACTTCAGAGCACGACCAGGAGGAAGGAACACTTCCATGGCTTTGTAGGATGATTACCAAAATGTTCTCTATCTTGATAGAATGCTTCTGCCCCAACAACAGCAACTTTTTTCACGTTCACTAATTCTCTTCCCTCACCTCTCACTGCACGGTGATCCTCATTATGCTGCCTTATTATTCAGCCCCTACCATACAGACACAACATCCCCAAATATTCAGTCTTTGCTCCTTTTATTCCTCAACATCTGTAAGGCAATATGAAACATCATTCCTATGTATGACCAGCTAAGTGCTCTTCAGACATAGAAACACTCCTTATTAGAGTATTTACAGCAACAATAATTATTTTCCCCCGATTTAGAATGAGCTCCCTGATTTACAATGAGCTCAGAGATGGTAAAGGTGGTAAATTCTCCCCCATGCTGCTGGAGGTGATATGCAGGATGGGAGCTGGCAGGACAGACAGGAGCACCTCAGACATCATGCACTGCCGCCCTGGGGAATCACAGAATGTGGGTTCTGATCTGTGTGCACTCTGAAGGACGTCTCTCTTGATGTGCACTGCCAAATGCACTGCCCATGCTATCTTCGCTATCTTCCCTCAAAAGGCAGAGTAAAGACCAATCACTTTTTATGGTAATTTTTACATCAGGATGGCTGCACAGAGCTGTATGGAGGACAACTTCTGCAATGAAAATGGCTGCAGGACAACTGTGCCTTCTTGCAGTGTACAGACCAGAATGACATCCTTGCCATTGACTTTTGTTCTCTGCCATCATGCTCACTGTGTAAGACAAGCAGGCAGACCCAGACATCTTCCTGCGTTTTGAAGTGCTTCATTTAAAAATATACTTTACAGAACCCTAAGAGAGCTGCAAACCAGCATCACTCACAGCACAGCAGGCTGGATTTTTCCATTTTCTGATTCTCAGACATTTATTCACACATGCCTGCATTACATGGGCTCTATTTCTGCCTCCCTGGAGCCTATCAAAGGTGTGACACAGGGAGTGACCATTGGCTGCAAAGAAGACACAACCATCTGCAACACAACAATCTCAGGAAAAATGAGAGTGATGTCTCTGGGAGGACACTGTTCTGAAACCATAAGGATCTGGGAAAAAAGCAAACGTTAGGGTCAATACGAAAAACAGACCGGCTGTTTGATATTTGCTCATTTCAATATTTAAGCACACACGATGCACAACCTAAAGCCTTCGTTATCATGCCATCTTACTTTAGGGCAAACCCACACACACAAAAATAACAACAAAAAACAAAAGCAGATCTGTCCTGAGAAACCTCCATCTCAGCCTGCAATGATCCGCTTCACAACCCACTGACACCAGCACAACAGAGCAGAAGTTACAACTGCTGGCAAAGGTACCCTCCTACAGCCTCTGGGAAGGTTTATGACGGAAGCTTCCTCCCCTGGGATTTATGTCAGCCTCACAGCTGTGGTCTCTCAGAGGAAACTCAAACCTCCTTGAAGCCCTTGGCTTGAAAGTCTCATGCCTACTGCATACTGGAAAAATCAGGGCCACCTCGCGAGCACGAGGCTGCAGACCTCATCATTGGCTGTTCTGTAGTTCCACAGACACTCCTGCTCTTTGTGGTAGTACCAAAACCCATCCACGAAACTGGTCCCTACCTATTACTTGCTGCAACTTGCACGGTCACATATTCCACATGGGCTCCACAAAAGGGTTTTCATCTGGAACATCCCAACTCACATCTGTGCAGGTACAGGGAGCGAGCACCTGAATAGTGGTGATTTTTGGCTACATTGCACCTGAGGCAGAGGCCAGGCAGCTGGGTCACTGGGGTACACACTGGGATGGGAAGGGACAAGGCTGTGAGCACTGCAGTGTGATAGAACGTTGACATGTGGCCACCCAAGGATCTCTCAGATCAAGTCACACCAAATTTATGCTTTCAAAGTGGTTTAATCCATTTACCAAATATCCCCCTACAGCCGGGGGGAGGAGATCCCCAATAACTCTTCAACAGGGATTGGTGCTCCTCAGCACCTTTACCAATAACATCGATGATGGGACTGAGTGCACCCTCAGCACTTTGCTGATGGCACCGAGCTGAGCAGTGCAGTTGGTACAATAGAAGGAAGGGACACCAGCCAGAGGGACCTGGATAGGATTGAGAGCTGGACCCACGTAAACCTGATGAGGTTCAACAAGGCCATGCAAGGTGCTGCACCTGGGCCAGGGCGATCCCAGGTGTGTGTGGGAGAAGAACTGCTTGAAAGCAACCATGCAGAAAAGGCTTTGGGGGGGTCTGGTGGAGAAAAGCTGGACACGAACAGCAGTGTGCACTTGCAGAGCAACAGTCTGCAGCTGTACCAACAGTACCTTGGGCCGTCTCAGCAGAGGGGTGGCACTGAGCAGGCAGGTTTGTCCCCTTTGCTCTGCCCGCATGAGGTCCCACCTGCAGTACTGCATCCAAATCTGCCTCCCAGAGCTGTGGGTGCCCCATCCCTGGAGGTGCCTGAGCCCACAGATGGAACCTGGGCAGCCCGACCTGGTGGGGGCACCCAGCCCATGGCAGGGTTAGTGCTGGGAGGTCCCACGCTCCCCTCCGACTGCAGTCATTCTATAACTAAAACTCCAAACCGCCCGCCAGAGCGATGCGTCCCATACCCCTACGGGATAAACTGCGCTCCCGTCCTCGTCCGGCGTTCCTCACCCCCCCCCCCGCCCGCCTCCTCCGCCAGCTCCCATCCGTCCCCCGCGTCCCCTCCAGCAGCGCGATGCGCCCCGGACCCCCGAGCCGCGGCCGGCGGGGAGCGAGCGGCCACGAGGAGGAGGCGGCGGCGGCGGCACCGGCTGCGGACCCCGCGGCTCTGCTCCCCTCGGCAGGTGCGGGAGCCAACTTCACCGGGGCAGCACGAGCGCCCTCCGCCCGACCGGGCCGAACCGAAAGGAACGGAACAGAACCGCGGCATTGCCCGCCCCGTCGGCGCTCCCCCGGCTCCCCGCTCACCTGCGCTCCCGCCGTTCTTCTCCGTGCTGCGGCGGCTCCGGCCGCGCTCGCCCTAAATAGCGGCGGCCCCGACTCCGCCGCGCCAGCGCCGCTCCGCTCCGCCGCGGGGCCCGGCTCTCCTCGGGCGCGGCGCGGCGGCGTAGCGGTTCGCTCAGCCCCGGGGGCCGGGCCACAGCCGGCGCGGAGGGCTTGGGGCGGCCGTCCCAGGCTGCGAAGAGCCGAGAGCTGGGGCTGCTCTGCCGTGAGCGGCAGGGAGGGGTGAGGATGGGGTTGGTCTCCCTCGCCCGGAGTGGCCCCACACGGGGTTGCCCCGCATGAGCTTTGTCGTAGAGTCACGGAATCACAGAGGATCCAGTTCCGGGCCTCCTGATGCGAGCAAGGCTGCCAACCAAGAGCCAGGTTGTGCTGCCATGGACCCCAACCGTGGCCCTGAGAGCTTCCCGGGATGGGGCACCCGCAGCTCTGGGCAGCAGTGCCAGCGCCTCACCGCCCTCTGAAAGAAAACTTCCCCTGACATCTAATCTAAATCTGCCTTCCTTTAGTTTAAAACCACTCTCCCTTATCCTATCAATATCTGCCCATGTAAACAGTCACTCTCCCCCCTGTTTCCCTCCCTTAAGTACTGGAAAGCTACAAGGAGGTCTCTCAGAGCCTTCTCTTCTGCAGACTGAACACCCTCAGATCCCTCAGCTTTTCTCCATAGCAGAGTTCTTCCCCCGAACTCTACACACACCTGGGATTGCCCAGACCCAATGCAGCACCTTGCACTTGGCCTTGTTGAACCTCATTAGATTCACGTGGATCCACTTGTCCATCCTATCCAGGTCCCTCTGGCTGGCATCCCTTCCTTCTACTCTATCAACTGCATGGCTCGGCTCGGTGCCATCAGCAAAGTGCCACACTGACGCCACTGGTAAAGATGCTGAAGGTTACTGGTGCTGAGATGGAGCCCTGGGGGCCACCACCCCCCACCACCCCCCACCACCCCCACTGACCACAGCGCTTTGTCCACAACCACCCAACCAATTCCTTACCCACCAAACAGCCCACCCTTCAAATCTGTATCTCTGCAAATTAGGTGTGGTGTAGGACCATGCCAAAGGCCTTGCACGAGTCCCAGTAGATGCCATCAGTTGCAATTCAGGTAGGGCCCAAGTCTTGAAACAGCAGTGATAAAGTCAAAGCTCCTTTGCAGTATCATTTGGCCTTAAAAAGATACTAAATTAGACACTGCCAACCAGCTGTCTCCATTTCCCTCTGGCAGCTAATTTACATATTGGATTATTTTCAAGAAACAGCTAATCTCATGTTTTTTGAACACTTACTACCGCGGATAGCCAGGCTCTGCCATCTCCACCACCTTGTCTCTGCATGATGGGCTGAAACTCATTCATGCTCAGGAATTGTCTGACTTTGACTACAAGTCTGCTGTAGCTGCCCTGAGCTCAGGCTCAGAAGGAATTTCATGCTCTCCAATTTTGACCTTCCTTTGGCACCTCTGATTGCTGGCTGTGCCCAGGAATAGCAGCATCCCATCCACCCTCCCTTGTAAGAATGCATTTTTAACACTGGAGGGACTGCGTGTTGTGTAAGTCAGACAGCTACAGCCTCTCACCTGGAGCTCTCACCTGGAATAAGAGGGAATTTTCAGGCTGTCCCACCGTGGTGCAAATCTGATACAAAAATAAATAAGTAAAATAAAATAGATCTCTCCCTGCAGCATCATTTGACTTCCAGAGGACACCGAGTGAATCTTCTGAGCCTCCAGAATTTCCTGGAGACAGAACAAGACCGCCGTAGCTACAATGGCTGTTCTTCAAAAACCTCGAGAAGATGCCTCTCAGTTTATTCTCCTTCCAAACAATGTGGGTGTTGTTTTGTGGGTGGAAATGTGTTTGGTGCGATGCAATGTGCAAGGAAAGAGGTTGGTCTTTTACGTCTCCAGCTGAAGAACAAATTCTGCCCTTGGGCAAGAGAAGCTTAAAGGAAATCTTGCAGAGCTCTGCAGCAGAATGCAAGATGGTCTCAGAGCTGTGGCCATCATAAGCTGTCTCATTGCTGTGCTGTCAGTCACTCAGTAGGAGCAGAACGTTTGCTTGCTGCAGCCATTGCTCTGCTGTGCCGTGGCCAATAGATGTTTGATATTGTTCACAAGCATTACTTCCATACAGAAAAAACGTTGTGGTTGGTGGCTTTCTTAGACTGTTGTGGGAAAGGAGACAGTTTTGGGGTGCAGACCAATCTTCAGACATTTTCAAAAAAGGGAAGAAATACATTTTTTCCTTCTCTGAGTTTGGTCACCTGGACACTTTCCTGCCTTCTAACAGCTACAGCTCATTTCACTCGTGCTTTATAAGGTCAAAATCAGCTGTATTTAATATCCTGTGTTGAATGTTCCGCTCAGAAAAATAATGCAGCTATTCCTTGAGATATGTTATCGTTTTGGGGCGTGGGAGGCAGGGGAGCTCATGCAGAGAGGGAATTTGTGCACCTGGAGACGCTGTGAGTGTGCACCAGTGAGACAGGCGGATCTACAGATAAAGGGCCTCTGAAATGAGTCTGCTTCTCAGTTTAACACTAGGAAAAAAATATGTCGGTGCTGGCAAGGTTGACAGAGTCACAGAAGCGTGGTGGTGATGCTCAGTCTGCAGACTCATGTGTCAGAGCAGTTGTAGCTGTACATCAGTTTAGCTCAGGTACATCTGCAGCAATTTGGTGCTGAGTGAGGACCTTTGAGAAGATCTGGGCTTTTCCTTGGGCTGTGGGACACAAAGACAGCTTTGCTGAGCTTCCACTCTGCAGCCATTTATTTGACTTTCACACGGCAGATTGCATTTTTCCTTTTCACATCGAGCCTACTTTCCAAAGGTACAAATCAGGAAGCTGAAGAGTTTCCAATAGCATGTTTTTGTGAGCATATCTCAGTTCATTTCAAAGCCAACATTTCATAGGAACCTAAATATCTGTTTTCCAGAGAAAACCATGTGGCTAGAACATCATTTGTTCAAAATGTCAGTTCTGTTCTCTCTTCCTCAAATTAGAGATGTAATCATTATTTTTTGGGTGCTTTTCTTTGGATACCTTTAGCTGTGTGCAAAATGACTCTGCAAGCCGGTGATATACAGCTTCAAAGTATGAAGCAATTATTTAGTTGCTAATGTATGCAAAGGAAAGCTGGGAAATAACAAGGCTAAGCTTTAATCTGCTTGCCAGCTCAATGAGAAACCAAAGTCGTGTCTGGTCAGACAGCCATCAGGTGACCTGTGCAGCTTGTGGGCCCTTAGTTGAGCCCCATCCCTGGAGGCATTCAAGGTTGGGTTGGATGGAGCCCTGGGCAGCATGACCTGCTGGTTGGCAACCAGCCCAAGCAGGTGGTTGGCACTGGATGATCTTTAAGGTCGCCTCCAACCTGAGCCATTCAGTGACTCAGCTGACACTGACCCATCTAATTGTTCTCTTGTTGGTTTCATACCTTTCCATGGCGGTGTTTTTTTTTTCCCCCTGAAAGCTCATTCTCCATCTCAGCAGTCCCACCTCTCTGACTTTGTTTTCTATGCTGTACATGTCTAAGACTTTCTCACCCCTCTTTCTCACAATCTTTCTCTCAGCTGTCTGAGGTGGTGATGCAGCTCTTCCTTGGGTCCTTGGCACATAGACAGCTGAAGCCCCAGAGGAGGCAGAGGTAAAACACTACAGAGAGAATGAAATCTCATTCTCCAGTATCGCACATGAAAGTCTCAACAGCACTGGCTAGATTGCTGATTGCTCTGAGGTGCACCTTTTGGGTATTTGATTTCAAAGGGCTCAGGTTTTTATTCCATTGCTTCAGAAGATAGGCTGAAATCTTGAGTTTTTTTGTTACTGTTGCTATCCTCACCCTAAATCCAAAACACAGCACCGTGCCAGCAACTGGGAATGAAATTAACTCTATCCCAAACAAAACCAGGAGAAGATGGAGTTATTTTACCGTTCTCATCGAAGCTCTCAAGAATCTGGGGGCAGACATGGACCTGCCTCTGCTGGTGCAGTGCCATCAGCCAGCAGATGGGAAGGGCAGCAGTCAAAGCAGCTGAAGTGAATTCTAAACAACAGCAAAGCCACCATCTGAACTCATCCTCTTCAGAAGGGAAATGACATTAACGTGGCTGTGTCCTGGGTGGCGTCCAAGTAAAAGTACCTCCTTCCTCATCAGCATCGTGGCTCCCTGTG